TGTCCATGGCTGTCACTGCCGGGGTGATATGGTTGTGAGCATGCGTAAGGTTATGGCCATACGGCTTTGGTACGTGTGCTTCAGTCCTAATATTGATATTGCTTCTGGTATATGGAATTAATAAAGGGTAGGAATTTCATTAGTTGAAGCGGATAAAAGGGAAGGGCAAATCTGTCATTTCGGTCTGCAAAGGATAAAAAGCGGTAACAGGCGCATTTTATGGATGTGAATGAGATCAACCTAGTGTAAGTAGCTAGCGGTATTTCTGTTTTTGTTTTTGTGTGTGTTTTTTTATGTGTTTTCTGATGTAGTGTTCTAAGCCAGGTATGTGGAAGGGGCCCATCGTTTGCCAGAAAAAGTATACGAAAAGGGTACCTTTTCTGTCAAAGAAGGTACATAAAAGGATAAGAGGTTGGAATCGGGGCGGAGCCTCCCGGCCGCATAACCTTGGTACCTACCCGAGTACCCCCCAGGCCGACACTACCAGTACTGTTTGGGCGAGTGAAACGAGCCTCGCGAGAACGTGCGAGCGAGCCTTCCCTCGATCGGCCCCTCGCTCGCGCGTTCTCGCGAGGCTTGCTTCGCTTGCCCAGAAGGAGAGCTTGCTCGCAGGCTATCACGACTACACTTATAAGGGCATAAGAGCGATCATTGAACCTGCCAGCTCCTGACCATAACTCATATCAGGCATAACCCAATTTATTTATTCAAGCCACTTACATCGAACTCTTATTCGTGCTATCTGCTTTCATATGGGTGTTTTTCGATTACTTGAAATCTCTCCTGAATGCACATGTATTCTACTTTTAAGCTGATTATGGTTTATGACATCAAGAACTCACTTGATAGCCTTCCGGTCGTATTGATTTTGGCTGTCAATTCTTTTTGCGCGGGAAAAGCCGACCCTTCAGTCACCCTTGCCCATGTTTTGATCACAGTTTTGACCAAAAACGGTTAAACCGTTAAAATGACTTGTCCGGACCGGCTTTTAAGGGGGTGGAAGTACTAAGCTTAAAAAAATATGTGAAATCAGTTTTGGGGTTTTGTATACCAGGGGGTAGCCTGCGAAAAGCAGACTCATTTCCGGTCATCGCTTCTTCGGAGGGAGAGAAGCGACGACCGGAAATGCGTCTGCTGTTCGCTGCTGTTCTTTAGTAAATCCCTAAAGTTAGAAAAGCTAGCTCACGAAACTCCTTGGAGTTGATCATACTGGCAGGGTGCGCCAAAAAGTTTTTTATCCACTTGTCCTTCGGACAAGCACTATATTAAATTTGGTTGTCCAAAACCCAAGGGTTCTTGTCCAAAAAGTTTTGCTCAAAACTCAAAAACAATCGGGCATATATTTTACTGCTTATTATCACATAATCAGCCTTTTTGCAGGTAATTAACAGGCCTGGTTACTAAGGAAAGGTTCCTAACTCAAATGGAGCTCGTAAAAAAAACAAATGATTGAAATGGCTGTGGAATGGCGAAGTTTTAAAGGAATATTTGACCTTATTTTGACAAGCATGAGGTTTGCTTTTATGACCATAACATAAATTTTAATTCTACTGTAATCTGAAGTCAACTTTCATCTGTTTCTGTATTTTTTCTAATTAAAAATGTGCTTGTCCCACGGACAAGTTATGTCAAAGGTTTACTTGTCCGAACTGTATTTCTACCTGTCCCGGACAATCGGACATAGGCTTTGGCGCATCCTGACTGGTTTAGCATTGAGCGAAACCGTTTCTTGAAATGAACGCAGCTTTTCATTGTTTTGAAGAGGTTAATATAACTACAGTCAAGGCTGTCTCAACCCACCACCTTGATAGTCCATAAAAGTAGTCGTAACCAGAGCCGGGAACGAGAATGGGCTCGTAAGCGACTTTATAAGAGGGAGCTTAAGCAACGTCGACGACGACATCTACGAAAACGTTACTCTAAAAGTGAAGTCGCGCTGCTTCTAAATTTATCGCGCTTATTCCATCTCGTTCACAAATACTAGCAATTATTTTCTGGAGTTCAATTCTTAAAGACTGTATCGAAGTTCAGGAGAAGAAAGAGAAAGTCGTGGTCTTGAGTCCACGTACGTCACAAAACGTGAAAATAGGCATTTTCATGTCGTAGTAGTGCAGTGACGGCAAAGAAATGTACAAAAAAGCGTGATGCAAGTGCAAAGTTGTTGTTTTCCAATCTAAACCAATTGCTTTTTTGCCGTTCTTGTTGACGTCGCCGTCGTCGTTGCTTAAGCTCCCCAAGTCGCGTAAGACTTCTTTTAGCAGAAGTTCAGGTGAAATAGAAAATTAAAGTAGACGTTTATTTATGGTTACTTATCACTTTCGATGTTACCCCAGGGCCGGACCAATATTCAAGGTCTTTTAAGGGAAATAAAAGTAATGCCTTCGTCCTGCAAAAGACTAGACTTTGCGCTTTCAGAAAAAAATAGTAATAAGAATAATTGCTTTTTCGACAGGTAAATCGTTAGGCAAGTACTTTCCGCGTACTGGGAAAGATTAACAACCGGAACGGATCAGAAATGTTTTCCCAACCGGGTTGTTAAGGTCAGCCGTTTACTCTATACTCCTGATGGCTTCACCCATTGCATCATTGCAGTACAAATTTCCTTAAGTTACCAAAAGTCAAATTTTGGGAATTACTTTCAGCTACAAAGCCATGGGGTCCGCACGACGTTTTTGCTAAGTTACTTTAATACGCCATCAATCGTTTGTCTCACGATTGTCGCATAGACAATATCGCCCGCAACGTTTCGACTGCGTACTACAGGTCTTCGTCAGGCAATGGTATCGATTTACTGAGTAGAACTGTTAGTACTATTTGTAACCACAATGGCTGTTAGTGATTGGTGTATCACGAACCTCACTCAAAGTTTGTGGGCTTCGATCCAAAGCATTGTTGGAACTTTAGGATCGGGACTATTTCGCCGCAGAGCGAGCCGCGAAGACAGTGGAACATCGAAATTTTAGCTGGATCTTTGGCTAACATATAAATAGGGCGTTGCGAGAATTGTGGTGATTGCAAAGTCAGATTTTGCTTCATAAAGCCGGCGTTTTTGCTTGCGCAAAAGCTGAAGTTTTTAGCCATCTCAGTTCACTAGGTATTTTTCTTTTTTCACTTGCAAAAGGCATCACCTTAGAAAAACTGCCATCAATGCATGACTGTCTTCAGCTGCCGTTTATAAACTGCATGAGCTTGCAAGCCATAGAATTAATACGAAACTAGCAACAAATTGTCAGTTATCCTTCGCTTGTGAGTTCCAGCAGTGTGAAGTTTTATGAGTTTAATTTTCTTGAACGTAAACTCTAACTAACATATAGATTTAGCCAGGGCTAAAAGCGAAGCTCACACCCTAGATACTTATAAACATTTAATTATAACGTGTAACTGGGCTAAACGGCGACGGCAATGACGACGGCAACAAAATCAATAGATCTCATTGGCAAAAAAAATTAACAATAAATTTGCACGTGCAGCAATCATTTTGTACATTTCTTTGCCGTTGTTTTGCTCGATTAAAACGTGTGACTTCCTAGTCACACATGTTCTTGTGTTCCTGTTCGCTTTTATTTTTTCACTGCTGCTCATTTTCAGCTTGCTGGCCGCTAGCATTTCTCATTTTTCGCACCTCCGCCATGAAATTTTCATTTTTTTCTTCGAACAATTTTCATTTCCTATATTTTTTTAATCACTGTTCTAGCCCTTTATCCAACATCCTCGTGAGACATAAAAAAAACATGCAAAAATGAACAGCATATCGGATCTATAAAAGACATACTTTCCCAAAAATAAGTAATCATGATCAATTAACATTTAAACTGCAAAGGACCGCAAACAAATATGCCGCAAAACGTAGGATCTGTAAAAGACCTGACCAGCATAAAAACGCTGAGTAGACACAATGAATTCTGCAAAGCTCATCGTACTATGTGAAAATTAGCAAAGTTAATTTTCTCAATACGATCAGCTTTGCAGAATTCAGTGTGTCTACTTAGTGTTTTTTTGTTGGTCAGGTCTTTTATAGTTTAAATGTCAATTTATCAACAATAACGTCGAAAAAGACTCGACTTTGTTATTGTTTTTTCTCTCTAAAAGTCCGCCGGGTGGCCATGCGATTTCCCGCCCAAAACACCTCGAGTTACCTGTGGTGTCATACCTGTTAATTGAGTTATTTCTCATTGGTATGCCTGTAATGCGGACGGACGGTCAGACGGGCGCACGGTCACGTGACTACAAAAATTTCTCGGATGGATGAATTACCAAATTTTCTCAGGTATGGGGCTCCGCTCGTGCGCGCTTCGCGCTTGCGTGAAGCCCCGCTATATTAATAGTAGCCTATTTAAAGTATATTTACAGTATAGGCCATTATGAGGAGTTCAACCCCCCCCCCCCTCCCCCGAGGGGTGTCAACAGTGACAGACGTTCGATAACTTGTACGCGTGATGTGGACGCTGTGCCGGTCCACGCGGGGGCAGTCATTACGTTGGCCCTGATCCTATTCATGTATCAGTCAGACTACATTCAGAAATGGCCTCGTTACGGAATCTCTGAATGCCCTCAGGAACACATTGCTAACTTCAGCCACAACTTCCGTTGGGTATTTTCAGCGCTGTATTTCTGCTATCACGCCTAACCCCAGAGGGTTTTTATGAGTAGCCGGTGTCTCTCTGTTGCTTCAGTGCTTGTTTGTTCGTTTGTTTATTTGTTTGTTTGTTTGTACTAACCTTTAACTGTTATCTTGATCCGCTTGAAGTCAGTCTTGCCAAAAGCCGTCAACACGCACTTGTACAGACCAGCATCTTCAATTTTAGCATTCGGGATCTTGAGGATAGCCTTCATGGCGTTGGTGGAATTATCTCTAACAAAAGTGACCATGTTGTCTGGAACAGGTACATCCCCTGTAATTGTCTGTTTTTTCCACTGTAGCTTGGTGACTGAAAAACCCTTTGATTCACATTTGACTTTTACCTCCTTGCCTTGAAGCACAGTTACTGATCTGCGTGGTCTCAGCCTGAAGTGGTCTGCCAACTGAGCTGCCGTGGAAAGCGAAAACACGTTGATCTTACTATTTTATCATTATCGAACAGGACTTCCCCGAAGAAATTTTTACCCGTATTTTTCAGATCCTCGCCCTATTACTTCAGGGATTTACTAAGCTATGCCAATAAATGAAGATGAAATAAAATCAAAATGTTATTAAGAGATCAAATTTGGCAAAGGACGTTGAAAGAGATTTTATTTGAATTGCCGCGGGTGGTTCCAGTGAGGGATTAAACTCAAACATCGAGAGTGCTGTACGTGTGGCTGTTCTCCCTTATCATCATTCATTAGCTTTATTCCAAGGGTTTAGAAAAGGGATGAAGCCAGTTTGTCAATGGATGGTCGAAAGGGCTATACCTTTTTTGTCAAAATGGTAGCAGTAAATACAGCAAAACTTGGGTAAGTGGTTTCACTTCACGACGGAGCTTTCTCGTATTTAGCAACCCAATGCCTGCCAGTAAAAAATTTTGTTCGATTTCCTCCCCCCTCACCCTGTCCACTTGGTTAAAAGCCCAGTTATTATTCAATGTGTAAAAACCTGACAAACCTACCTATAACTCTCACAGTTGTCAACCTGTAATCTGATTTATCAGGTTCTACCATTACGGTGCATTTGTAGGAACCAGAGTCTCTTAATTGGGCATTAACAATCTTCAGAATAGCTTGCACTCTGTTGGTTATCAGATCTTTAATGATGGTGACTTTACTTTCGGGGACAGCCGAATATGATCCTTTATTCACTTTCTTTTCCCACTTTAGAGTAGCATCTGCAGCACCATCACATTCACAGGTTACTCTGCTATCCTGCCCTCGAAACAGAGTGATGGATTTGTTCGGAATCAACACAAAATGTTTTGGCAGTTCAACTGAGGAGAAAATGAAAGATTTTATTTATAATACTCCTCGCATGAACCTGTGTGAAAAATAAATTAATTAATAAAAACTTTTGGTAAAGCACAAAAAAACTCATAGACTGAAAAACAAAAACAAAACAACAACAACAACAACCAAACAGAAACAAAAGTGGACAATATACTGTAAATGTTTTAAAATATAAATGGCACCTATTTTTATAACACAACCCGGAGGAAGAGAGGTCCTTCCTACAATGGCCTATGCGGAGAGGCTCCGCCCGAACAGGGAGGGTTACCGTTTTCATTCTTCAAGGATGAAAAAAAAGTAGGGATTTAATTAGTTGAGGTAGATGAAAGCGTGGGAAGATATGTTATTTTCGTCTGTAAAAAGGCTCAAAAGGGCTAACATGCATTTTATGTACTGTGAAAAAGTCGAGAAAACTTTCTGGTTTGTGATATATTCTTCCTTAAAGACAGTTTTAAGTACGGCAAAAAGGGTGGGTATAAATGGGTAAGGGAGCAGACCTCGGGACGGAGCCCCCCCCCCCCCCCCCCCCCCCCACCAAAACCAACTTTATTCCCTTTCCTCCCGGCACTACCAACTACTCGGGGGCAAACACCTCCCCCCCCTCTCCGAGAATTGTTTTTTTTTTTTTTTATAAAATTAAAACAGAGAGGATAAATATTGGGAGCGAGCTAATCTGACTCTACACTCACCCAACTGCTCTTATTCT